AGAATTGATGATGTCCAGTTTATCTTTTTTCTTTTATTGTTCATGCTTTTTACATCCCAAGAAATCTGTCTCACAAATCACAAAGATTTTTTTTTTTTTTTAAACTCCCACAGTGACTCACACACAGGCAAAACTGAGAACTACTGAACTACTGGTCTACCAGGAATCTGACCCAACTTGCTCAATTTAACCTTTCTACCATGGAAACTTAGGGTACCAAACGCAAAACAAAAGTACAGTCAGCTGGAATACTGTAAAAAACAAACAAACAAAAAAGGATGCAACTGAGAGTCTTGGGACTTTCTGAATTGACTGGCTTCCAAGGCTAATGCACAACTAAGGGCTAGAAACAGTGAGCTGAAAAGCAAAGTCCGAGGTACTTTCGGTGTGTTCCAGCTAAGTGAAAGGAAGAAGGGAGAACAGGATTGTCCTCTCCCCTGTGGGAAAAGCACACCCAAGTTTACTTGGTTTAAATGAAAAAGTGGGAAAAATGATTTCTATTCTTGGTGGGATTCTTTAGAACACGTCTCTCACAGAGACGATGTGGAGCTGGAAGTCAAACTTGGTAGTGTTTGGCTCCTGATTTTGAAGGCACCACATTAAACAAATGAAGGTGGCAGCAATAATATTTGCCTAAACCTTGGTTCCAATAGGGGTTAGACAGACTGAGCTTTCATTACACGAAAGGAGATGTCAGGAGCACCAAATGAGCTCCATTTCCCCTGGAGTCCTAGACAAAGTGGGTCTGTTTCTAAGCTGTGAACAGGAGGCTACTTTCTCTAGATGTTATATTTAGCTAAAGGAATCTCCACCGGGCTTCATGCAAAATGTAAAATATGTCCCAGGAGACATAACCACAAACCAGAGGGCCAGCAAGGAGCATCCCTTAAGGGGGTTCAGTAGTACAGAGGGGCCAATTGTGCAGCCACCCTGACATCCCCAAATTAGCTGAGTTAGCTGTGAGCCAGATTTTTGGCCAGTTCTCACATTTAATGAGTCTTTGTTTCCCCCTTACTAGCAATCCTGCCCCTGGAGAGAAAAACTTGCTGTCCTATTTCACTGTCAGCTTCCAAATGCTTGCCCAGACATCAGGTAGGAGAAACAACCCAATGTTGATGTTTAACACCTCCAAACCTTTTGAAGGCTTGTGTGCAAGAGAAAAGGTTAGGTTAATTCTGTAACTAAGTGAAATATCTGGGTTCAACAAAAAGAGTAGGAAAATACAGAACACCCTCTACCCTGCACACCATACCCCGAGTCCTAACACAGCATGTAGGAGGAAACCTCAAGTTCTAGAGTGAGATGAATGGATTTAAATACTAGCCTCACCTCATTTTTTGATTTAATCTCCCTAAGTTTCAGTTTCCTCCTTCATAAAATAGGGCTATTAATAGCAACTACTTCAGGGAATTATTGTAAAGATTAAGCATATAAAGTGTTTAATACTGTACCTAGCACATAAGGGTTCAAAAAATGTGGGTTTTGTTATCATAACCTTTGCTAGTGAATCATTAAGTTTTACAGAGTTTTTTAAAAAAGAATAAAAAAAGGAGGAAAACCCATGACTTTTGCTGGTGAGAAACAGACCCAAATTCACATAAAACTCAGGTGAATTTTCACAGGTGTCCATAGCCGAACCAGAAATAAAGGTATCTTTCCTAAAGCCTGTGTCTCCAGAGAAATGTGGATTTCCCTGTTGCTGCCGGAACCGAATTTATAGGTTGTTTCTATTTTATACACTTGGATTCCTGTTTGGCATCTCTTGGTTGCTGGCCATTATAGATAAGAGAATCTGAAACACTGCTTCATTCCTCAAGAAATTTGGTCTTTAACTGCCTAAGCTAGCCCCTTCTCCATACCCACACCCACTTTTATTTGTCTGTATCGTGAGGGCTCCAGTTTCCTTATCACAATTTAACAAAGGTCACCCAACAACCAGAATGAAGCCCCCAACACAGGATACCCTATATTGGGCATCACAGAATTCATCATAGAATTATAGCATATTAGATTTTGAAGGCAGTGTGAAGATCACATAGGCCAAGCACTTTTTTTTTTTTTTTTAACTTTAGGGAACTAAGGCACAGAAAGAAGTAATTGTCTAAGGTTTCGGAGTTGCTAGCAGAGTTGAGCCCAAGAGAAAGGGTTACTTGGAAGAGACCTCTGCTCTGATAGAGCAAAGCAAGCCCTGGGAAGCTTCATTTAACTGACAGTGTGGCTGGGCTCATTCCTTAGTTCTCTTATCTGATTACTGTATCTTAACCAGTGGGATTTCTAATTCTTCAAGTGCAACACACTTTAAACAAAAGGGAATAAAAAATTAAGTTACGGAGACAGAATGCTCTGTGCCCATTACTAGAAAGCAGAGAGGCTCTCACCCAGCCAAAACAGAATTAATTTACTCTTGTGATCAGCCAAGCCAGCCTCTACCTTAGAATGCTCTGCCTACAATGGACCCCAGGGGAGAGAGAAAAGAGATTATTCATGCAGTGGGATAGTAAACATTGGCGATTCAGCAATCCTATGCATATCTCTAATAATAACTATAATTTAACTGATGAAAAGTTATAAAGATCCAGAGAAAGTCCTATGAGCTGCAACCATATAAAACAATATGAATAAATCTCACAAACATATGTTGAATGACAGAAACCAGACACAAAAGAGTATACACTGTATGATTCTATTTATATAAAGTATGAAACTAAGTAAAACTAATCTCTGCTGTTAAAAGTCAGGATAGTTGTTATCCTTGGGGGTTGGGACCACCCCTCCCAACCCCCTGAGGACTGGGAGGAAGCATGAGCGGAGTTTCTAGGGTACTGAAATCATGTTTCTTGATCTGGGCACTAGTTACCAGGTGTGTTCAGTTTGTAAAAATGCATGCAGCCATAGGCCCCATGATATGTGCCCCTTTCTTCAATAAAATGTAATATATAAAAAGTCCTGTGAGGAATGAGAAATTCTTCCCTACACCCCCAGCAAAGCAATGCACAGTTTACGGAGATCAACTCTGAGACCATGGCTAGGAATATCATTCACGGGCAGATTTTCTTTCCGGAGGGTAAAGAGCCCTGAGCCATGCACTTGGGCTCTTGGTGAAATGTGAGTAGTACTTGAGGAACCAGAAGCATCCGTGGCTTTGATAAGCGGCTGCCTTCAGCATATACATCTCTGATCTGGAAGGGTCGTAACACTCCTGAGCGTGGCTCTTCTCTAACCTTCTAAAGCTGGGAAAAAAGGTAGCTGAGAGCTTGGCTGAAGTCCAGATAGCTGAATATCCCTCACAGAAGTTTTTTTCCCAGATGAGCAGAGAAAATGAAGGAGGAAATGATCAGTCAGCCCCTGTCCTTCTAGAGATAATCTAAGTGGCTGTCAAGGTCACACAGAAGAGCTGAAGTGGCATCTGATTACTGTCAAGGTTCTACCTAAATAGGCTTAAATTTTTTCTAAGAAAAGCTATATATTTAAGGAGTAAGACATTATGATTTGATACAGATGTATACATAGTGAAATGATTACTACAGTCAAGCCAATTAACAGACCACCTCACACGGTTACCTCTGTGTGTGTGTGTGTGTGTGTGTGTGTGAAAAGAGCATGGGAAACCTACTCTCTAGCGTATTTCCAGTATTCAGTACAGTATTAACTACAGTTGTTCATTTTAGCCACATCCATACACCACCAAGGATTGCAGAATAATTCAGACGAATGACAAGGAAGCTAGAACAGATGCTAGAAACCATGAGGAAATGGTGAAAAGTACCTTTACCCCTAAATGAAGTATGGCCCCAACCACAGCGCAGCCAGGCCACTAAAAATAGTTGGTGAACTCCGGGAGGAGCTCTTTTTCTCTTCCTTTTTTTCATTGTCAGATGCTTTTTACTCTTCATATCCTGTCTCTAAGACACAGGAAAAGCCCCTACACAGATGCGTTATGTAGATGGAATATTCTAAATCAGTTCTTTTTTTCATGCTGGTGTAAACAGAAGAAACTGCGTTCTAACTCCAGACCTACTGAAATCTGGAAAACTTCCTAATGTTAAGAATTGGCAAACTGGCTACTATTGACCACCGTCCTGTTTACTGAAGTTCTTTCTCTCCCAGCCTCAGATTTTACCCCTGGATTTTCTCAAATGAAAACCAATGAATTTCCTATATATGAAACCAATGAAATAGCCCTATACACCCTCTTTATACCTAGAACTTGTAGGAAGATTATTCGCCTTCTGAAAGGTCTTCTGGGGATACCAGAGCTTGAATGTTAGACATGGTCCATTACGTACAACGGTTGGGGCTTTTGCCACCATTTGTAACCAAAAGTCATGAATCAGTGACTCCACCGAGAGCTCAGGTTGAGAGAGCTTAGAAAAGAGGTTCCTTAGTTTCCAAGAGACTATTTCCACCACTGACAGGTAAGGTCAATTTTACATGTTTCTTAAGATTACCACAATTTATTTTGAGTTTTTCCTCGGTCAGATTTTTCAACTTACATCCAAGGAATTGTGACAAACAATTGAGCTTCAGAAAGCATTCAGGGACCCAAAGACCAAGATATGTCATGATAAGAAGAACCAAATTCATGAGTTCACCCTGGCCAAGATGAGCGCTTAGAAAGAAAACTAAACTAAATCATAAACATACATGAACTACAAGAGGAAAACCTGAAATGACACTGAAGGTCCCCAAATCTCAACAGCTTCACAAATCACTCAAGGAAATCAAGCAAACACTGTCGTAACTAAAACATGCAGATTATGAATTATGTTGCCAGTGGTGGGGTTGTACCTTGCAAATGGTTACTCTCCCAGGGCTACTATTAATTCAACTCAGAAAGGAAGAAAAGAATGACTATTCAGTATTTTTTCTCCACAAGATCGTGGTAGGGAATGACCAATGGAAAGCCTTTTAACTAGGCCAATACAATAGTCTTTCTCTTATTTACAAGATGGTATTATTGCTCCACCCAAGTATCCCTGTGCCTAGAAATAGCTATATACCTTTTTAAAGAGTCTTCCTGAGTCCTCACTGACTTGAACAAATCGAGGAATGATATTATTCAGGTAGATGTCACTCAGGGTGGTGTGGTCCCTGCTCTCCCGCTTCACCTGGTTTAAGAGGAGATTCCAGCAGTTGACTGGAGAGAGAACATTCTGATCCTTCCTGCAGAGAAACAGCAAGAAAAAAAAAAAAAATCAGTGTCAGTGAGTAGCCAGGGCCAACAGCTAAGAACACAATCCATGTCATAAAATCACAGTGATCAAAGCCAAGCCAGAAATAGATACCTTTCCTGAAGCCTGCACCTCTAGTTTTCTCTATCTAAAAACTCAGTGGAGAAAACAAGAATAATGAGAAGAGAAGAAGAGGGACGAGAGAGGAAGAGGGTAAGAGAAGAAAGAGGAGAAGCAGGATTATCTGTTGAGCATCTATTACATTCTAGGAACTTAGTAAATGTTTTATATGCACTATCGCATTAAGTTTCATCATTTCCCTGTAAGGAAAGAACAACGTTATCCCCATTTTACTAACTAGAAAATTGAAACTCAGGGAAGTTGTCACTTGCCCACAGCTAGTAAGAAGTCATAGAGACCGTAAGAAGGAGTCAGGGACTAGAACCACACAGCTCTGTGTCACCTGACTAGGACAGGTCTAGGCTGACTCCAAAGTCCATAGCCTTAGCCACTAAGACATTTGGTTTGTGTCTAGGGTTGGAGACAAAACTTAGAGGTCTAGAGACAAAAATCACGAGAGCACTACAGACCACATCCCCACACAGTATTCATATTAGGATTCAGTGAAGACAACAACCTTCAAGGCCCTTGCCATGAAAAAAAAAAAAAAAGGCCCTAAAACCTCTTCAGGCCCACAGAACACATCTAAGGAGATTTTCAGTTCATTGGTTGAGCCATTATGTCATGCCCCATACAACCAAGAGCACAAACCATACCCAAACACGTGTATTCCTAAAACTTCTACAGCCTGAGTGGAGCAGTGAAATGCCAAACCTAGGTGCTCATTTCTAATGAAAACACTGTGATCCAAAAGACTAGATTGATTATCTACTCAGTTCGCAGCACTGGTTTAAGCAACAGAAAAAAATTCTACATCTGCAAGCTGGATTTCTTTAAAAAGAGAAACCGAAAGTAGGGGTTGTTTGTTGTACTATTTATCAAGGGCTTACTGTGCACTTGGCACATAGCTGGGCCCTATACTCACGTTGTTTAACTTGAACCCTACGACAGCCTGAGGAAGGGCGTATTATTAATTAACCACATTCAGCAGATGTGGGAAGTTGACTGAGAAAAGTTAAAGATCTTGTTCAAGGTCACATAGCTAAAAGGTAGCAATGCTAGAATTCAAAACCAAGCCTTATAAGTGTAGAGAAGGGTCTTAATCATTGGGAAGAATCACTACCTGTTCAATTCTCTTCCCCCTCCTCCCTCCCTACAGTCAGACTCTTAATGCAAAGAGAGTGGACAGTGGCTCGGTTCTTGAGTCACACTGCCTGCATTCAGAGCCGGAGGCTGTCGGCGGCTGTGATTTGTAGAGCAGGGAATTCAACTTTAGAAGGGGCTTTTCCAATTCTGTAATAAGGTAACAATTACCAACTAATCACGCCACACCTCCTCTGGCTTCAGAACACCCCAGACTATTATATCAAATATCTGTCTAACCAGCACTAAGAAGCTACTTCAATCCAATGAATGCTAGAGTCCAAACTGAAACTGTTCTCTATCTGCCCCCACCCCCACCTCTGCCCCAGGCATCACACCCCTTTGCAGTCAGAATACCTAATACCTCTGTTCGGACCACTTCGGCAACATTATGTCCTCTTACTGTTCTAGGGAAATCGAAAGATTTTTATGGAAACAAATTTATATATATATATATATACACACACACACACACACACACACACACACACTAATACACACACACACACACACACTAGCCGAGAGAGAGAGAGAGAGAGAGAGAGAGAGAGAGAGAGAGAGACACATGTAATTAATCCCTTCCCTTCAAAATGTTTAGCATCTGAAAAACAAACCCAAAAAAGCGAATAGGAAACAATCCTAAATTCAAAGCTGAGTACAGGCATTCAGTGACCTTTGGTGTTTTCACTGCAAGAAAACTTTCTAACGCATTCCAAATCAGTTTCAGTTATCAAATCCTAAATAACCGAATTTACATTTTTGTTGGGTGGCAAAGTATCCATGTCCTCAGTAAGCATGGAATATATCAGGCAATTACATTTGCTTTTTTAAAAGAGTAGATCTCACAAGATCTGAACTTGACAACAGCTCGGTCTGCTTCTTATGGGTGGACATGAGTTGGTTGTCTCTATTAGGTCTTTCCTTAGAGTGCTTCACACACATAAACATGGTACTACAACTCAATTTCACAAACGTATAAACGTTCGTATCTGAAATGAATAAAGTACAGTATTAGGGGCTTTTAACTGTAAAAGTGCTGATATCACAGTGCAGAGTGGGAGAGAAAGAAAGACCTGTAATATAGCAGAACATTAGCGGTATGAACAAAGGGCCAGCTAGCCCACAAATGTACACCGCAGATCACAAGTGGAGGCAGGAGAAGCAAAACCAATTGAATACCATGGAAGAGGATACAGAGCATAAATCCCAAGGGGACCCTCAGAAGAAAGGATGAGTAAACAAAAGTTAATAAAAAGGATGGACAGAAGTGGAAATCTTTTAAAATAAAAAGCCTTATGCCTTAAAACTAATAAATTTGTAAATATATTCAGAATTATATATTTATAATTAAATGAAGAGGTTCTAAAGTAGTAACACTTTTAGCGCATATCCTTCCATCCTTAGAGTAGGTGGTAGGATGGCTATTATTGGTTTCAGTGAGCAGGAGTTTTTAAAGTGTGTTCTGAGAAACTGCAGAATTACAGAGAAACACATTTCAATTTCAAACAACTGTGACACATCCATTCAAATGAGCAACCTCCAGTTAATGTGAAAGGGATCCAGATTCCCTGCGGTTGACGCTATCACAATGTCTCATGGGCTGCTAGGCGAGCTTCGTTCTGTGCGAACTCTGGAATAAAGAACCGATGCGTGTATCTGAACTTCTGAAAAATGTCCTGTTGGTTAGAACGGATGTTGCTCTGCACAGGTTTCATTTTTTTTTTTTTTTAAGATTTATTTATTCATTTGAGAGAGCGAGAATGAGAGAGAGTACATGAGAGGGGGGAGGGTCAGAGGGAGAAGCAGGCTCCTCGCCGAGCAGCGAGCCCGATGTGGGACTCGATCCCAGGACTCCAGGATCATGACCTGAGCCGAAGGCAGTTGCTTAACCAACTGAGCCACCCAGGCGCCCCCACAGGTTTCATTTTTAATTCAAACCTGTGTGCCTCCTTAGGTAAAGCTGTGCAGGTGAGCTCATGATTTAACACACAGTGGCCAAGTTCAATTACGTGCCACAGAAGGTTCAGGGGCCTAGGCTGGGTTCACGGTAGGCCACGGTTGGGTAGTGAGAATGCTCAATACCATCCCATCATTATCAATTGTTTTTATATGCTTATTATACATTTTTGTGCTTCCCCAATAACATTTATGAAGGGGGATGGGAATAGGTGCTAGGTAATGTTAGTGATTCAACTTCAAAACAAAAATATCCTTTTTCAAGAGCCTAGGCCAATTTAAAACTATCTCAAAATTATAATCCATCTGTGTGAATCAGGATTTTCTTGATATTGGGCAACCCAAATCAGAACCAGAAATAACCTGGATGCTGAAACTGATATAAAACTGCAACTCTGATTCATAATCCTAATTTCAATATATTTTTTTAAAGATTTTATTTCTTTCTTTGACAGAGAGAGACACAGAGAGAGAGGGAACACAAGCAGGGGGCGTGGGAGAGGGAGAAGCAGGCTCCCCGCTCAGCGGGGAGCCTGATGTGGGGCTCGATCCCAGGACCCTGGGATCATGACCTGAGCTGAAGGCAGACGCTTAACCAACTGAGCCACCCAGTCGCCCCCCCTAATTTCAATATTTTGGGGTCATGAACACAGCTTCATTGTTCTCACTGACTGACCCTGTAATGAGTACTCTTCATAAACTTGCACTTTAAAAGTGGATTTACACCAATAAAATACTGCTTTGGATCTGCTGTATGTATGGGGATTCTGTGCACAATTTTTATTTTAAAAAAGCCTTTCAAGATAGTATTAAACTCTGCTGTATGCTTCTCGTATGGGTCCCTACTCTCTTTTCCTATTACTGAAGTGTTTCAGGCAATATTTTTAGTTCTTTGAGTTTGTATGCTTTCTTGGACATATTCCTCCTTTCAACTGAGGTGTTTTAATTAATTCATTTATTTATTTTGGGGCAGTGGCAGAGCAGGAGAGGTGAAGGGCATGTAGTAGGAGGGGAATACACATATACCATATCGGCACTTTTCCCCGCCAACACGAACAAAGATGAAACACACTTCAGGCTGGAAAATAAGCAAGTCAACGAGACGTGATTTCATAGGGAGCATATGAAGGTTCTGCTAGAGTGGTTTCCTGCTTTAACAGCTTTGCAGCCTTATTTTATTTGGGGCTGCTGGAGCCAAGGGAACTTCGTTTGGTTAGGAGATTGAAATTTGTCTTTATATCTTTTCCATCTATCATTTGTTTGTACAGTTTCTTTACTTTCCCTGCCCCTGGAGTCAGGTTGTGTAATACTTGGGCATTTAAAGAAAAGGGTCTGCATCCCTTAGGAATGTACTGAACAGCTGCAAACCTCCTCAAACACTAATCCCTAAAAAGCAGACAAAATATCCAGAAGTATTTTTCTTACTTAACATTTTTTTCAGGAGGCAGATCAAGAAAACATAATACTGCACTTGAGAGGGAATGACTCTGGAGTCAAAAAAAGAAAGGAGGCCCAGAAAGTCACAAGCTGGCTATGCCCCCACAGAAGAGATTATCATTATAAATGCATCGAAAGGATAAACCTGCACAGCTGAATCATTAGCTTCAAATCCATTAGGCCAGTTTTTCTCCTTCAACTTTAGACTATTTATGGATGTTCAACAAAACTTAGCAGCAAATGCTCCAAGGGATTTCCCTACAATATCTCAGGTAAAGAGAGAACTCTAGAAAGGTCCATGTTGGCCTCCCTATTACACTTCCCTTTTTTGCCATA